AAGTTGAACTATGTGCGGAGTAAAAAAAAAATCTCTCCATACTTCTCCGACCTATGTGCGGAGTAAAAAAAATCTCTCCGCACAGTGCAAAGAGATGACAAACCAACTCTCCGCACAGTACGGAAAGCAAAAAAAACTCTCCACACTGTGTGGAGAGAGTTAATCTTTTCGTACAGTACGGAGAGTTGGTCTTCACCATGTCAAAACTCTCCGCAAAGTGCATAGAGAGTTAAACCATGTGCGGAGTAAAAAAAAGTGCGGAGAGAACAAAAACATTTTCCGCACAGTGCGGAGAGAGTTGAACAATGTGCAGAGAGTTAGCAAACTCTTCGCACAATGCAGAGTAAAAAAAACTCTCCGCACAGTACGGAGAGATGATAAACCAGCTCTCCGCACAGTGCAGAGAGAAAAAACTCTCCGCACAGTGGGGAGAGTTGTTTTCAAATTCCTTAATTACAAATCAAATTTCAAGATTGTAAATTTTTCGTATATACAACGAAACAAAGTCGAAAAACATGGCTCAAAATCAATTATGTCTTATTTAAATTTCATTCACATCTCAATTTCTGAGCATGCAAATCATATTTACGATATTAGAAAGGAGCTTTCCCGTGATTCATACAATGAAACAATATGTGAGTTGTGCAAAGAAGGGGATATTGATAGTACCATGGCATTGTTTTCACAAATGGAGGCTTTAGGGTACCCCCAAATTCAATATTTTACACTTACTTGATAACAGCTCTTAGACATTAAAAGCGGATACAATTTTCAATGAAATTATACTTTTGGATTGTAGGTCAGGAATTAAAGTGTTCATTGCATTGCTCAAAAGTTGTTTGAGAAAATGCCTCTTGGAACTTGCAGATAAAATTTCGAGAGTTTTTGTTTTTCTCTTCACACTGTGCGGAGAGATAATTTGTCACCTCTCCGCACTTTGTCGGGTCTTTTTTGGCTCATGTGCGGAGTTTTTTTTGTCTCATGGAATTTATTTATATTAAAATTATTATAATTTTTTTATGTTATTGGCATGATGTGTGTGTGGAAGAATATTTGTCAATCAACATAAACAAAATTCTTGAAAAAATGCAAAAAATAAAAATATATAATAAATCTTCTTATTACGCTAATAAAATTACAATAATTTTTTTTTTTACAAATAACATAAAAAAAATCATTTTTATTTTCAACAAAAAAACACATTTAAAAATTAGCAATTTCATAACCATTTTTTTAATTCTCGAAAATACAATTATAAAAAAGGAAATAATATTGAATTACAACATTTAATATTTAAGAAATTCAATATTAAATAAATTTTATACATTTATAACAAATTATAAATCCATATATGCAACTTAGCGTATTTGTAGGCAACTTACTGTATGTACAGTTTACCGTATATGTTGCCTACCGTATTTACAAACAACTTACCGTATTTGCACCTTACCGTATATGCTGTCTATCGTATTTGTAACTTACCGTATTTGTAGCATATCGTATTTGCAAACAATTTATCGTTTTTTCACCTTACTGTATTTGTAGCTTATTATATATGCTGCCTACCGTCTTTGTTGCCTACCGTATTTGCAGCTTACTGTAATTTTATATATCGATTTTTGCACTTACAAATATCGAGAATGCAGAACATCGTAAATTCACTTACTAAACTGAATTTCAAAATTTTTTCAGATTTTTATTTTTTCAACATAAGTATAAAATAAATATTAAATATATATGAAGTACAAAATATAAATGCATATGAATATGATGCTCAATCTTCAATTTTTCAATATTGAATTACACAAAATTTAGAAATATAATCTTCATATTCAACTCAATCATATCAACACTATCAAAGAATACAAGCAAAATAATTTGTATAATCTCGTACATTTCTTATTCAAGTATGAACTATACAAGTATATTTTTTTCTAAATGACACAATACTGTTATGCAATTGTAAAAATAATTTGCAATTATTTTCTTATATCACAGGAATATTTCTAGATATTGTTTCAAAAATTTTTAAAAAAACTAAAATTCATACACTAATAAAATACGATAACAGTCACTATGGAAAGAGGGGTTTTTTTTTTTAAACTTCGCACTGTACGGAGAGTTTGCCAACTCTTCGCACTGTGCGCATTTTTCTTTTTTACTCTGCACTGTAGGGAGAGTCCGCACTTTGTGAGGACAGTGTCCGCGCAGCAATGCCATTTCTTCGTAATGTAAAGAGAGTTTTGCCATTGTGTTTGCCATCTCTCCGCACTGTGCGGGGAGATTTTTTTTTTTTTTTTTACTTCGCACTGTACAGAGAGTTTGCCATCTCCACGCACATGGTTTGCTATCTCTCCGCACTATGCGGAGAGTTTTTTCTTCCTTTTTTACTACGCACATGATTTGTCATCTCTCCGCACTGTGTGGAGAGTTTTTTATTATTTTTTAAAACTCATGTGCGAAGAGTATTTTCCTTTTTTTTTTTGGGTTGCTCATGACATTTTATATTTACTAAAATTATTATTATTATTTTAATGCAAATGACATAATGTGTGGAAAAATATTTGTTTGACATAAACAAAATGGAAAATAAAAAATAACATCATGTATAGTAAAATTATATTTATTTACTATTGCATGAATAGTAGACCATCATTCCCTTTTTTATTAGAAGTTATATATATATATATATATATTTTTTTTTTTTTTTTTTTTTTTTTTTTTTAATTTTCAATGCTTTTGATTATTTGTTTCTGGTCAAGAAAAGAATAATAAAGACAAAATCATGTTTAAAGTTTAGGATGTCAGGATTGGATTTCGTCAAACTAACATTCAATGGAGAAGCGTGAGGTTTCAGTTTTGGTTTATTTTATAATTTTATAAACTTCAAAATTAGTAGATATTAATTTTTTTTTATTATAGTGAATACGTCGTCTTAAACAAATATTTAATAGTATTACGTATTCTTATAAAAGTAAAAATAAATTTAATAATAATACTAATATTATATAAATAATATCCATTTTAATAATTGTATACAAGTATAGCAACACACTACTTTTATTTATCAAACACTCAAATGTTGATTTTTAAACATACGACAATTTCAAACAGAAGTTTACCAAAGACTTGTTTGGTTCTTCTCGAAACTAATTCATTCTACAACATAACTACGTCTGTCATCTATTAGCAGGCCCGATCCTTGGCCTCTGCCTCAGGCCCAAGACAATTAGGGTCCTAATTTTTTTTATTTTTTATTTTTTCTAATAACAAGGTGAGCAGACGTAAAATAAGGTGAGCCGGCCCAAGATTAATTATCCAACAAAACAACATCCTTAAATCCCACAATAAAACAACATCCTTAATATACATTTGAATTTTGTCGTTGGGGGGCATAATTTTCATCGTTCGCTTCAGGGCCCATCAAACACAGAACTGACTCTGTCTATTAACACAACAATATCAGATCAAGTCTAAGTGAGACAATTAATAGATGTCGGAGACCTTTAATACCAAGCAATGCAACAAAAGATCTCAAAAAATATTTTTCTGTTTCAATTCACATAATTTACAAAGAAAAATAAAAAAATGTCATATTATCTTAAAAATAGCTTGTGGAGTTGTTACCAAGAGGGAGTTAAGATTACCGAAGTAGAATAAATTTCACATAGAAAATATTTCCCACAAATAATCTTAAGGTTTCGTCTGAATAAGTAATAATCAGTGAATATTGTTGACAAAATTTTATCAAAAAATGCTGTAAATGTGAGCTGGACAACTTTCATACAATTCAAAACACTTCTTCACCAATAATTTGTTATAGATTTTGACAAATAATTTAAATAAAAACAGCTCATGTTAACGTGCCTTCTCTTTCAACATAACTGTATGATTTATTAGCTGTCATAAAGCTGTATTTTAGGTAACCAAATATGATTGGTATCTCCATAGAATCATCCTTGAATGTAGACATGTAACACATGATTAACTAGGCACAATTTGACTTACAAGCTAGCGTTAAAGTTCACATCGATATACATATTGAAATTTTTTTGATTGTTTGTCGAGGTTCAGCGGTGTCAATTTCATTGCAAGGTTTGCAAATGAGTACCTAGATGGAGACAATCTCATATAGTGTAAGTTGCATGTGCGAGGAAACTTTCACATGCGGTTTAAAAGTAGATTTGGTCGAAAGATTGGATGTAGTAGTACCAACGTGGGTCGAGCTAACAAAAAAGAGTCTAGAAATGGGATGCTCTGTATTGAGATTGATAACATGACCTGGAAGCTTGTGAGATGAAAGAAATTAATCCCATGTTTGATTTTTTACTTTTTGGCAGGAATATCGATTTTTTTGGTGCAACTTCATGAGCCCCATAAAGAATAATTTAAAGTTGATTGACAAAGAAATAACGAGACTGCTGACTTTTTGGCTTTCATCCTATCAAGTAATTTTCATCTTAATGATCGAATCATCCCCATCATATTGATGTTTACCCCGAAAATGGTCACCCTGTCTTTCAAGTCAAAAGGAAAAATTGGGAATGGCGAAATGTATCTCTATGCTATGAAGCAAGAACACTTCTATTAGTGTGCATTCTATCGTGTTAACTGTTAAGACATCGTCAACCTCTTGAACACTCCATGACTAATCGACAAGTCATATTCATTTTCCTATCATTTATATAATTATAGAATTTTTAATGTTCAAATGATATGTTAAATATACTTTTTGTTTCAAGTGTTCGACATGACATTTACCATGTCCTATATGCATATCATGTTCATATCAATGCTTCTTATCCTGTATGCAACTGATTGGCCTATTCAATTGACACCATTACCCAACTAACTTCCACTCTACTGGGGGAGTTTAAACAAATATATATTTGTAAAATGCTATTGGATTGCCTGTTTAAGTTTGTTTATTGCCATCCACTAAGCATATAACATCTACACAATTTACTTAGTTTAACACTTCTTGGACAAATCTTCTCTTATTAAAATGAACAGATAAGACTTTATAATATACTTTATATATAAGTATAATACAATCATTTTCAGCACATGATTTTAGAAGTAAATATTGCTTATAAGCATAAAGAAGAGGGCTAATAAAAAAAATTACACCTAACACAATCGTCCAACGGCCCTCGAACCCATTTGTACAACTCTGGCACTAAATATCATCGGAAATCGACGGCTAGCATGTTGGGCCCCACTTAAAAGAATGCTCTTTTGGCGCATACAATCCAGATAAATGCTTAAAAAGAAACTTTTAAGCAGGACCAAATGTGCTCTTTATTCAAACAACATTGGCTCATAATGCACAAACAAAATCCCCACTCGTCTCTATATCTTCTTCTATATCTGCATCGGTATCTATATCATCAAGATCCATACTTCCTGCTACAAAAAGGCCTCCTCCAGCTTTAGGCCCCTCTACTGGTTTTCTAGCCTCTTGAATTATAGCCAATGCTTCTTCAACTGTTTGTGCTGGATAATCATTTGTATTTTTCATTTGTATAGCTTCTTCTCCTTCCATAAACTCGACCGGCAAGTTCTTTAAGAACCATGGGTGCTTTTTAATTTCTGGAATAGTTATTCTCTGTGCGAAAAATAATCATATTTGACTACTGTACGTTGCTAACATTTTGAGAATTAAATAATCGATAAAATTTCAAACTTCAACCTTCTCAGGGTCAGCGACGAAAATTTGAGATAATAGATGTTTGCATTCCTTGGAGACTCTGACATAGTCAGGGATTGAATAATGGGCACTAAGAATTCTCTGTCAAGAATCAATAATCTTTAATTATTGAACTAAAACAAAAAAATAATAATAATAAACAAATATTTATAAAATTGTGTAATGACTCACATTAATTGTTTTCTTGAAATTTCTTGGATCACCAGGATCTTCGAAAGGATAAGCACCAACTAACATCACATATAATGTAACCCCACAAGACCAAACATCTGCAATCTTTAATTTAAAACAAATGATAACGACTCAATGATTTTATTACGGTTGGCTAAGACAAAAGCGGGAAAACTACAAAGAAATCAGTTAATAAATATCAATCACCTTTCCGTCATACTCTTTTCTTGATAAGACTTCTGGTGCAATATAGGCCGGTGTGCCTACAGTTGATTTTGGTTGAGAATGCAACACGGATGACTGCAAAATTAAGTGACCGGTTATTTACTAAGATTAATTTGCCTAGAATTAGGCTTTGCATTGAAGAGTCAAATGTTCGTGCCTTGGAGTAGCCAAAGTCGCAAATTTTGAGTCGAGGTGCTGAGCTCCCGTCTAGCAATGTGTTTTCGAGCTTTAGGTCACGGTGGCAAATTTGCTGCATTAATGACTAAAAGTTAAAAGCTGAAAGGTGTGTTGTTATGCAGTATTGGACACAGTACAATGAATGAAGAATTTAGCTTCTTTTTGTTTGCTAATACTGTTGAGTGTCGTCTAGTCTACCTTACTACACGTTCAGAACAGGTTTTAATAAATGAGTAAAATTATGACAAGTTACCATGGAATGGCAGTAACTGACTCCTGATATTAGCTGTTGGAAGAAAAACCTTGCCTGAAACAATTGAACACTAGTGGGAAAAAATGCAGTCCAACACTTACGAATAAACTGAAACTAAGCCTTATCTTGGTAGAGATTTCTTAAGACAAGATGTACCTCGTCTTCGCTGAATCTACCAGCATTACATATTCGTTCGAAAAGCTCTCCTCCCGCTGCATACTCCATCACTATGGCTAGATGAGTTGGTGTTAACAAGACCTGCAACAACACTGATCAATCAATGCTCGACTAAAAGAACAACTCCTTTGTGCAATGTGATGACATAAAACTATTTCTGGGAATCAATAAGAAAGCTATTTTATCAATAGTAATTTATTATTTGTAAGCACCATAAGGTGGACTGTAAAAGTATAAAAACAATAAACGAAAAAGCTAATTTCTCGTCTAATACTGCATACCAAATATAAAAAATATTATGAAATCGCAGTTATACTTTTCTGGTTCAACATTCTCAAGCTCAATTCTTCTCTTACTTGACCCAAAAAGTGAATCCAAATACATTTGCTCACACAAATTGCAAATGGGCATCTGATTCACAGAATCAACCCAATAAAGCGGTGAAGAAAAGGATAATGAAACTGTGCTTTGGGCCAATTAAGACGCACTCTTTGACAGAGTTAATCTTCTTGACAAATTAAAATTTATGTGCATTATATCATTCAATACTGTTTACCAAATATATTCTCCTGATTGATCACAGGCATATGGTGGAAGTAGTGTAAAAATTCAGCCCTTTACCTCCTTGAATCTAATAATGTTGGGATGCTTTAAGGCCCTGTGGTTCATAATCTCCCTTTGAACATGCTCATCAATCTGCATATGTAACACCAAAACAAGAAACCCCAAGAAAATTAAATAACCCAAATAAGTATACAAAAAAAATAAAATCAATAACCCTTAAAATCGAGTATCCAAAGTATTTATAAACCCACAAGCCGAGCCTTTAACGAGCGATGTAATAAAATTAAATCCTTACCTTCTTGCCCCTTTCGATGTACTTGACAGCATGGAGCTCACTAGTCCATTTATCTCTCACAAGCTTAGCCACACCAAAATTCCCTGATCCTAAGTTTTTCAAAATCTCGTACCTATCCATTGTTGTCAGCTCCAAAACATAAAAATCAAGGAAAACCCTTTTTCTTTCTACAAGTATTTTCACCAAATAGTCATGCAAATAAATGGCAAGAAGGGCAGTTTCTCTCTTTCTGTAAAATTTTCTGTAGAGTCTCGCCTAAAATATTGCAAATGGAAACTCTGTATGATGGTGGAATGGAGAGATGATGCGTGGCAAGATACTAGTGGTTGGAATTTGGAGAAAGAAATGAGAGAGTCTTGCATCTGACTTGGTGCATTTATATGCATGGCATGTGGCTATTTCAAATCAAATTAGTTCACCTTGTACCAAATAATCGTTGATGCTAGTAGTACATGGGAAAGAGGTACATACATGTGGTATGGGATTGACCTAAATAAAAAATACTTATTCGAGTAGATCTCACACCCCATATGAAAGGATGTACACCCTTAAGTACACTTTCAATATGTACCATTACATTAATTCCCAAATAATAGCCTAGACATCATTTAATTTTTAGATCATAGTAGTTGTAGCTTGGATAATTAGAGCTTATTTGATATAGTTTTTGCTTTTGCTTTTGCTGTTTGTAGGAGAGATTTTAAAGGAAATTACTATAAATTTTGTTTAAAAATTAATATTTAAAATCACTTTATATTCCAAAAGTGCTTTTAGATGAAGTTACATTGAACCAATTTTTTCTAAAAATTCTTTTAACTATCAAAAGCACTTCAACAAAATTAATTAAATGGGTCAAAAGCAACTTTTCGATCTCAAAAGATTCTTTTAGTTTTTCAAAAGTCATGACCAACAGGCCCTTGGTCCCCTTTCTATAGGAATTAAAATTAATTTCTTAATAAATTTTAATAAAATTTGATAAAATGTATTGTTAAAAAATTTTGAATTCAATAAAATATGTGATTAAAATTATTTATTGATCTTAATTGAGATTAAAACTAAAATTTTAATTTCTACCAAATAGGGAATTAGACAAAAATAATTGCAATTGATTACCACATTCTTAAGCCAGCATTGAATTTGTTAAGTATTGATCATTAGCACGATTGATGAAAAACATTATTCTTTAGATAATGTTTTGACAAATTTAAAAGTTATTTTTTCGAAAAAGTGAGCTAAATTTATCAGACAAATAAGAGGTTGCGAAAGATCTAGAAAAAGATCTACCACTCGTTGATGACCCGAGACCGAAAGGAGATGAATAAATCATTTTTGAAGGTTCTTGGCATCAAAATCGGAGTAAAATTTTCTCAGTTAAAAAGTTACTTTTAATATTATATATAACAAAAAGGAAATGTGATTCCTATCGAATTTTTACTTTTCACAATAGGAATATTTATTTAGTATTATTTATATAAAGAAAAATAATTGTTATCTCTCTAACATTTTTAAACTTTATTTAAAAGCATGTGTTGATTCTCGTTATTTGGGAAAAAATTTGAGTTTAGAATAGTATTTTTAGGATAACCGTAGTTAAAAAGTAGGAAAAATATTTGTGCACGTGTGAAATATGTCATTGTGTGAATGTATGGTTAAAAATGATTCTATAGTAAATCATAAAATAAATTAATAGAGGTCAAACATGCACAAAATACAATGATTATCATTATCTCAAATCTTATCAATAAAACAAACCGTTCACACATCATTTATTTGATGAAAGAACAATTCTATTTGAAAATTTATGTGTTGAACTCAGTTCTCATTTCCATGCTCATTTGATCATGCTTAAAAGTTAATTTTTTTAAAAAGTAAATAAAGTGAGAGCGTAATAATTTATGTAGGACATACAATATGTTTATTTTGAACTAGAAGAGTAGACTTTGTTACTTATAAGCACGTTCAAACAAGTGCTGAACTAGGGGAGTGCATAGTTATCTAGGGGCTGTTTGGGCCCGATTTTTTCACCCAAAAAATTGATTTTTTGACCGTTATTTTACTATTTCAACCGTCATATTTGATTTCTTCTCTCATAGGTGGACCCCATTTTTCTCCTAACGATCAAAAAATCAATTCTCAAAATCACTCCCAAACAGGCTCCTAGTAAAATGAAGTATTGAATACTATAAAAAAATAAAGGCCCCATTTGGGAGCTATTTTTCATCTAAAAAAATTAATTTTTTGACCGTTATTTCACTATTTCAATCTTAGTTTTTTACTTCTTCTCCTATAAATGGCCCCCTACTTTTCTCTTAACAATCAAAAAATCAATTCTAAAAATCTCCACCGAATAGGTCCAAAGTAAAATTTTTAGTGGAGGCGAGAGGTGAAATTAGCTTGTGGGTTTCGAGGTGTAAAATTGCAGAAATTGATGCACCCAAAAATTTAAATAAAACAAAAAAGCAAAAGTAAAAAATTCTCTGCCTTCTAATGGAAAAAAGGAAAGGGAGAAAATGACGTGGACGACCCATATGTACAAGAGAGAAAGTGCGAAAATCATGATATGCAAGTGGACTTGTGGGTCCCAAAATAGCTTTGGAATTATTCGTTTATTTGTACGACGCGGGATTAACAATAAAACGACGTTATCGTCACGAAATGGACGTCCAATTTGTGATTCTGAATGGCCGAGGAGAAATTTTGTCATGTCACGTTTCATTGCAACTTGTTATTGTGGGACCATATTTTGACAAGTCAATGTCCCTCGCATACACCTACCCTAGTTAGAATGTTAGGTATAGTAACTGGACATGACAGGACTGGATGGGACATGTCGGAATACTATTCATATTTTCTATAAGAAATCTGCCGTATGTATAGAAAAATGGTTGTCGGAATCAATACAGATCACACTTGGCATAAATTTGTACAATGATAAAAATAAAAATAAAAATAGAAAGACACGCCAGATACTACTGTACCAGATACTACCACAGCAGCATTTGGCGAATTTCTGGCAGCAACTCTATAAAGAATTCTCGACAGGTGAGAAGAAATTTCTATCGTTAAAGTGGGAAAACGAATTTTGAAATAGTGAATTTTTTTAAAAATATATTGTTAAAAGGTAAGAGATTTTTTTAATTTATGTGCAAAATATTTTACTATGAGAATGTAGGATTGAAAATAAATTTTAAGAAAAAAGAATTTTGAAATAATGGTAAATAAACGCAAGTTAGACTGTTCACATTTTCAATCCCATCTATACATTTACTTATTTATTTTATTATTATTATCTTGATTCAGAATCTCCCTCAATTTAAAACTTGACATTTTGATATCTCTTCGCATTCATAAATAGTTAATTTTAGTTGAACAATGGAGCATGTTTGGTACAGATTAAAATATGATTTAATCCAAGTTAAAGTTAAACAATTACTATTAACTACATATTTTATGTGTCTTGCAACTTTTTAACCACACACTTAAAAAATTTCTATTACAATCTACTAAAAAAATCTAATTTTAATCCCGACCAAACACCCTCAAATGTCAACAACAACCCTAGCTCTTATTTTTATGAAAAACCATACTACATAATTGTTAATTTTATTGAAATTGTAATCTCACCCCTAAAATAGTAAAAAATAAAAAGAAAAGAAAAGAAAAGAAAAGAAAGATCCCTTACTAATTAGAATAAAAGAAATTAAGCCCTTGTTCGGTTCAATTAAAAAAAATAAATTATAATTTAAGTAAAATCAATAATTAATTTTAATACACATTTTGTTAACCTTTATTAAAATTTGATTTTATCTAAATTGATGATCATGTGCATGCATCTAGATAAAACTTCCAATCCCTTTGTGTAATCATTATAGCACATGCGTTGCCAAACTAGAGGGGTATATAACTTGACGCTATCATCATAATCAGTCTGAGTTGATTAACTTTTTTGCTCGAGATTCTAAAGCTTACGGGCTTGATTGGGAGTGTTTAATTAAATTAAATTTTAGTTTCCATTCAAACTCAATTCTACACAGTATTTTTGTCAAAAAATCTTGTACAAACAATACAAATTATCTGTCAAATATCTTGGCGTGCTGTCGTAGACACCCCAAAATAATAAAATCTACACTTCCAAAAAATATATGTATTAGCGAAAGCAATGATCATTCTCAGGAAGAGTGATTAGTTTAATTTTATGCAATGTTAACAATAACGGGAGGTTTTGTTTGTGATGAAATTAATTCTAACTAAAAGCAATGCAAATTAATAAATTGGATTAAATCAATAGAACAAACATTGGTCTAAATCAACATGTACCATAAGAATTCCAAACTGTTTATAGATCCATAACTAATTACCAATTCATATTTTTAGCATTTATCTTTCGAATTTATATTTCCTATTTCTTCTTAGTTGTAATTAACTGAAAAACAAATGATCCAATCAATCTTTATTATCAAATAACCCAAGAAAAGCACTTAAAATTTAATTTAATAATAGCATGAGAAGCTAGAGAAATCCATGAAACAACACAATCACAAGCGGCCATGTTTAATCTAGTCAAATATCCTCCCTAGAATTTAATAACCTCTAAAGCAGCAATTAATCAAACTCTAGTTGCTTCATCTGTTAAAAATATCAAATCATTACGTATTTGTTCTTTAAACAAGCAGTCAATCGAAGTACATGAACATCTAATAAGCCTCTTAGAATTCAAATACAACAACCATAAAATCAAGCATAAAAGAATACTCAATATATAAAATATGAATGAAAACAATGAAATTTATTTAGATCTCACAATTGAATAATTCCTAGGCTTGAATATCCTTCGACCAAGAGATGAAGTTTAGCAATACATCAATAATCCTTAAGCAAAAAAAGGAAAAAATCCTTATGAATCTGGTAAAATAAGTGGTATCCTCATTTTGAACGTCTCTAGAGTTTTAAAAGACCCCTCAAGATTTGTTTCCATAAGAATTTCAATTAGAAAAGGAAATCAGATTTTTCTCGCCACGATTGACTTGGGCTGTCGCCCAGGCATGGCTTTTGGCTTCGATAATTCAATTTTGATGTTGGCGGTCACCCGAATTTTATAACTGGACTGTCGCGCTAGACAAAATTTCTTCCAAAAGTTGTATTTTAATCCCGAATTCAATTTTTGATTCTTTTAAATTATTTTTCTTGCAATTTCAACCCTTGAATTTCTAATTGTCTCCAATTGAACCCGCAACATCTTTAATCTTCATTCCATTACTCGTCTCATCTAGGAATTATTTGCATCTTGGTCATGAACTTTCAATTTCTTCCATTAAAGCACTTTTTTCGCTCTTTTCTTCTATTTTATGCAATGATCATCC